GAGGCTAATGGGGGCAAGGTCAGGGGAATGAGCCCCTCTGTGTCAGTGTGTCACTGACATCAGTATTCATTGCTACCTAACAAGTCACCCCCAAATATCTGTCAAAAAACTACGTCTCATCTCTGCTCTACAACGTCTGGGGCCTCAGCTGGAACTGGGCTGGGGCTGGAAGGCCCTCTTCTCAGATGGCTCACTCATGGGATGGCGAGTTGGTGCTGGGCTGGTAGGAAGCCTCAGTCCCTCTCCCCAGGCCGCTTGAGGGCCCTCCCCACATGAGGGCTTGCTTCTCCCAGAAACAGTGATCCAAGAGAGCGTGCCAGAGCTGCAGTGTCCTTGATGCCCTCGCTTCAGAAGTCACACACTGCCACCCACATCAGCTCTGGCTCAGTGCTGGAGGGGATTGCATGAATGCCAATTGGTGAGGATCATTCAGGCCGTTTTGGAAGCTGCTGTTGCGGTCACTTAGAAGGTTATCCTCAGACCACCCGGCAACCAGCAAAGGAATGTTCCTTACCAGATAAGCGTGTTCGACCCACCTGCATGAGCCCAACTTCAATGCAAGGCAGCAACTTGAGGCCCTTGTGCTCTTTGTACCCAGTCAGAGGGGCTAAGGGACCCCCCTAAGCTACTCAGCAAGTGAAACTGAGACCAAGCCTTCCTGCAGGGGCCCCCAGATGGCATCTAGTCCTGGAATTAATGCACCCCGTGGGACCGCACGTCTCCTGGGATTGAGCCCCCAGGAAGGGTCATACTGAAGTGATCACATTTTTTTTTTTTTTATAGCAGATTGGAACCAGCCAGAGCTGGGACTCAGCCTCCCCACTAACTTCTCATTCTTACATTTGAAAAGACAAGCTTGTTCGCTGAAAGAGAAGGGAGGCTTCTGGAGAAGGGTGTGAAATAGGGGTCTAGGGAGGACTGGGAATAAGACTAGGACACAGGGAAGCGTGAGAGCTGCTTTAGGGCCCAAAGAAGCAAGATTCACACTGTGTGTGAGTTGGGGCACCCTCCTCGGCTTGGCACTAGCTCCCCGCGTGGCCTGGGGCTTCACAGTGAGCAGCAGGCTGGCTGCTCAAACGGCTTGTGGGCATGGGCTTCCATGACAAGACCCACAGAGAATAACATGATAGACTTATTCCTAAGCACAGCCACCCCTGGGGGTCTCCAACATAGGGGAGGAGGCTGTCAGTGGTAGCCAAGTCTTGCATGAGCGGGAGAAGGCTGGGAATTGAAATGTAGAGGTTCATATTGTCATGCCCCTGCTAGCGCACACAGGCTAGAGAAAACGAAGGCAGTTTAGGTCTACTAACAACACCCAGCCACCAAGTTCAAGGTACAATTAGCAACTGTGGTGGTGCCCCTCCCTCACGCTCCTCCAAGGGCAGTCACTTCGCCAACCCTTGGGTTAAAAGCTTCCTTAACCCCCTTAGGAAACAGAAGAAAGGACCTTGTTTCAATGGACTGAGAATCTTGAGAACAGCTGTTATATCTCGAAATGGCAGCTTTCAAGGAGGATGCAGGTTGAAGGCTACTGGAGTGTGCAGTGGACACAGCCAGAGAGCAGGGGTCCATGGGGACTTGGGGCCCTTCTTTCTGACTGCAACCCTAGCCTCTGCATCTAACCCTCTGCCCAGGGCTCCTCCCTCCCAGTCTCTGCTGTTGGGATAATGTTGATATTTCTGCTCTCCTGCAGGTGGCGCCACAATTTAGGTTTTTAAGCTGTTGTTGGTGCTGTTTTCATCCAGGGCACTGGGCTCTGTATAAAACCCAGCCCCCAAGGCCAGCTAGTGGGGGGAGAATTCTCTATAGCACCACCAGGCTCCGGTGATTTATTTAATGAACAAATCTGGCTTTTATCAACTTAAATAGCAGTTCTGTTCCTAGACTACCGGTAATAAAACAGTGGTAGCTAAGTGAAGGGAAACTTTTAAGGATTTCTTCTCTCTCCCATAAAATCTGGCCCTTTTATATAGCCGTGAGAGATGAGCCAATTTCCCCCCTTCAAACTCCTCCGCAAACCACAACCGAATTGCCATAAAGACAGCCTCTTTGGAAACTGGGCTTCCCACAACAATATGCCAGTTAGCTTCTCCCTCATGTGGCCATGGGGCCAGCAATGACCTACCCAGCTTCCTCACTGGGCCAGGGGTTTGGTGGGTAACTTACAGACCCACTGTCAGCCAGGGAGCACCTTGTCTCTCTTTGCCCCTGACCAGCTGGCAGAGGGTGGGGGAGATGAGAGAGCCGGGAGGATTGTACCTAATAGCGAATCCCACTGTGAACTGCTCAAGAGGCTGCCTTTCCCAATGCCTTTCTTAGCGAAGAGTCAAGACAACAGAGGACCTTCCCGCCCTCACTGTATTGTGCCATTTATAAGAAGATGTCCCGAGAAGCTGTGCTAATTCCTTGTGTGTGTATTGCACCTATCTGAGAATTTCCAAGCTCATGACTAGACAGCATCTGCTTTGAATGTCACGATCTCTGAGGGGTAAATGGGTCGGGTGAGAAGAGAGAGTGCCCCAAACTACAGAATTGCTAGAGACAGGACGAGGACCAGGGTCTTCTAACTTCCAGCTTCGACGCATCCCACTCCATCCACCCACTCTTAGACCTTGAGAGAAGGTTCCAAGGGGCTTGGATTTTTGTAAATGATGATTCACAATAACTAAAGGAAATCAGCTCCACCGTGTTGCTAGTGTGGCTCTGCCTGTTTTTACTCACAGTGACTTTGTAACGGCCCCTGCAGCAGCCCTTTCACTGGGTTATTAAGTGGAAGGGAAGGGAAAAGGAGGGGAGGGGCGAAGAGGGGAGGGGAGGGGAGAGGACGGGAGGGAAAAGCAGTTGGCCATATAGCCCCACTAATGACAGGAGAATGGACCCCTCACCTGCTCATTGTTGAGCCAGCTGTTTGCCTCATTTCTTCTCTGTCATTGGGCCCTGTTACGACTCTCCCGGCACCACATGGCATTCATTTCTCTGAATGAAAATAAATGACGCCACGCACTAGGCAGGAGATAAAGAATAATAAATATATTTTATTTGCCACCTCTAAAACAAGTCTTTGACTTCTCATCCATCCATCAGAAAAGGGCTCACCAGCTATATTCACCCATACACACACATGCATGCATGTACACACATGGGCTACAAGGTCGGGGAGGAGGGATCTAACTGTATTAAAAATACATGCTAGAAATGGGAGCTGAGCTGTTTGCTCGCTCCCTTTCAGCATTTTTATGGCATGCTCTGAAAGCCAAGTGGCACGCAAACATTCGAAAGGTCCGCCTCCTCCCCGCTTTTATTGAACCACGTCCCTTAAGTAACCCATTAGGGTTTCTCATGGTGCGATCTGGGCTGTCACCTCTGGAAAGGCCTGTGACGGTCCCATGAGCAGTTGTAGAAAAGATATCTCAAAGCCAGGTCCGCATAACAGCCTTATAGGAGTCTGAGTATGGCTGCCTTACCTGTTGTATCCTGGGCACCGTGCTTGTCTCCACCCCAGTGCCAGTCCTGCATTGGCCCTGGGCTCCCTCATCCCGGCTTAAGTCCAAGAAGCAGCCCCATTGAGTTATTTTGTTATGCGTTTCTCCGGACTTCCGAAACTAACCTGATAGTGTGTGCTTTATCTAGAGTCTGGGATCCAAGGTTTCTGAGAAAGAGGAACCAGATCAATGTATTAACACAACCTAATAAGATAACTCCTCGCTGCTCTCCGGGCCGCGCAGTACTCAGCAGAGAAGCAGAAGCTAAAAGGGCTCCGCTCTGTCTCCTGGAAACCCTCTAACCAGACAGCCAGTGTCTGCTTTCCTCCACCGGCCTCCCACCAGCCAAGCTGCAGCGAGGCCGTACCCAGGTGGGCCCTGCCCGGCCTGTGTGTGCTGCCCACCTCACTCTTGTAACGCGACAGCTCATAGCCCCTTTTAATTTCTCCCCAGTTTACAACTCTGATTTCTGTGAAAACATAACCACCACAGGAAGGGGTAGGAATTTATGCTCCTGTCAATCATTTCCATCTAAAGAAAGATTCTAAGCTGTTTTGATGGGAGGACCAGGAGTGGGCGGGAAGATGCTGGGTGTGGGGAAAAGGGAAGTGGAAAAAGAGAGAGGAGGGGCAGGAGGTCAGACACCAGAGGCTCATCTGGAGGGTCATCCTTCATTGCTGCCCTTCCCAGGAGGTACGAAGTGGACATAAGGGATGGATGGTGCCACTCCCCTGGGACTGTGGTGGGGCGGGGGATAAAGGGATGCAGAGTGTTGAGTACCTCACAGTGGAAATCCCTTGGCCTTCTCCTGATGGGTGGGGCACAATCCTAGAAAGGTACTGGCAGAGGTTTAACAGGCAGTGCTGCCCACGTCCCATCCTGACTTCTTTCTCTGGACTTTTAAAACTGCCCTGGTGTTGACATTGTGCTTTTGCTGTAGTGTAGAATCCAGGGTTTCCTAGAAGAAAGGAGCCAGATCAGCCTCTAAATATAAACAAGACTCGATAAGTTAGGTTAATCTACCAGGCAAGCTTCGGTCCTTGGGTACCATGGGGGAGAGGGTGTCTCGGTGGGGCGGTGGAGCCATGCTCTGACTGGGAATAGGTGCGTACACCTGTGTCAGCTCTGAATACCTGGGGGTCCCTGGGATCGTCAGCGCCTCGAATCTGTGTGTGCCCTATGTCCCTGTCACCATGTGTGCACCCCTTTATGTCCCACGTCGTCACTGGCAGGGTCGCTCGGTGCGGGGTAAGGGGACAAGACCGGGGTCCGCCAACGTCCGTCAACGTCCGTGCCCCGGAGCGCAGGCCGGGCGGGCGGCGGCGGGCGCCGAGCGCGGGGAGTCGCCCCCGGCCCCCTCTGCCGGCCGCTCTCGGTCCGTCTAGATGTCAGCCGCGAGCTCCCAGCCAGCCAGAGCGAGCCAGAGAGGGAGCGGCGGGCTGCGGGGAGGGGAGAAGGCGAGGCGAGGGAGGGAGGCAGGGAAACGGGGAGGGCGGGAGGGAGGAGAGGAGGACCCAGAGAGCGCCTGGCAGCTGGAGTTTTTGCAGCGCTTGGCCGGGCTTCAATGCACAGCAGCAGCGAGCCGCGGCGGCGGCAGCAAGCAGCCCGGGAGCTCCGGCAGCCAGCGGCCGAGCCAGCGGCGGTCCCACTCCCTGCCCCCTGCAAACTTTGCGAGCAGCCCGCCCGGGGGGCCGACCGGGGCCGCGCTCGGGAGGCCCCGCTCGGCCCGGGGCCGCGCTCTCCGCCGCCGCAGCGTCACCAGCCGCCACCGCCGCCGCCGCAGCCCCGCGCCTCCCCGGGGAGCAGCCGACGGCTCCCGAGCCCCCCGGTCCCGGCCCCTCGGCGCTGCCCGGCCAATCCCCCGGCAGGGGCGGGGGCAGCCGGCCTCGGGCTGCCGGGGGGCGGCCGTCGCTGCCCTGGAAGGCGCTTAGAGGCTCCGAGAGCGCTCCCCGGCGGGTCCCCAGCGCACTCGCCGCGCCCGGGCAGCGGCCCGACCGGGCGAGAGCATGGGCGGCGCGGAGTGACGCCGCCGTGCCCGCTTGGCATCAAGGACATTCAGCCTGCGGGGGTGGGGACGAAAGGGGACAGCCCCGTGTCGCCACCGCAGCCCCCCCAGAGCCACTACCGCTGCTGCTCAGGCTCCGGAGGGCTGGGTGGAGGAAAGGAGTGCTTGCTTGAAAACGATCCACATTTCCCGACCTTTTTGTTGGACCTTCCGCCCACCTTGGACACCGACAGAGGCTCTGTCAAGCTCTGCAGACTCCGATTTTCGCCCTCTGTTTTGCTGGTCTCCTCCTGGGTTGCCCGCGCCTCGGTGGAGTATCTGCGTTCGTTCGGGCTGGGGCTGGAGGAGCAGCCACACGCGCGCACACGCACACGCTCGGAGGAGGAGAGGCAGCGGCGCCGGCTCCATCTGCAGTGTCAATGCGGCGCTCCCGCTGAAGGAGGCACCGCGGCGCTCCCAGGTAAGGAGCTGGCGGGCGGGCGGCGGCGGGACAGCGCGGGGATGCCGGGCTGGATCCCCGAGTCCTCGGCTGCTCCGGAGCCAGTCCCCTGCGCGCACGCACACACACACACGCGCACACACACACAGACACACACACACACACACAGGCACACACCGCGCGCAGGCACCTGCCCACCTCGCACCTGGACCCCCGCGGTGGCGCCACGCAGCTAGGGCAGGTATTCCCCGTTTGTGTTCTCTGACGCTCCGGGACCCACACTTCTCTTACCCAGGACCCGCAGGGTGGAATTCTGTGTATGACTGCCTCTCCCTCCCACCGGGCAGGGAGATTTTTTTTTCTCCTGTTCCCAGCCCTTTGCATGCCTAGCTGGTTTTAAAAAAACCGGATAAGTAACGGGAGATCTTGGGGACCCTCCCAGGATGATTTCTGCTCCATGGCTTTTGAACACCTTGGGATCTTAACGGTATAAGGGCCGCCAGGTATTCCGACGAATTCGGAGAGCGTGGTGCCCGGCGCGCGGGGAGGAGGCCACAGAGGCGGCTGGGGCTGCAGTTCTGTAGGGCGGTGCATGTGGCACAGACTGCGTTTCCCCGGTAAGAGGCAGCACAATCGCTTTTCTGAGGCATGGCACTGCTTCCCCGGAATGCATGCGCCGGGGATTTCGAGCTGAAGCGCCGCTTGGGGTCTGTGTGTGTGTGTTGCTTATCAAGGGAGGGTGTGGGGTCACATCCTCCATAGAAGGTATGACTGCTCATGGCTTCAGTCCTGGGCAGCACCAAGGCCACAGGGCTCCAGGACACAGGACTTGGGTCTCCCCCTTCACCTCCCTCCCCTTTCTCTGCAGGGCACTGGGAAGATCTCCCATGTCTCTCTGGCTAACTGTCACATGTCTTTCACAGTGTGTGTCTGAGAAAAAGATCTAGGAGTGAGGGTTCAGGAGGGTGCAGTGCAGGAAGGAAGGAAGGGAGGAGGGGTCCCCCTCTTAAGACGACCTCAGCAGTGCCCACCCTATAAGGAGACAAGGCATTCTTGGGTCTGCCAGCATCCCCCTGAGCCGGACTGCTCCTGACCGTGTAGTCTCACTCTCCAGGAGCCTGTGGTTCCAGGTTCTAGCTCCCGGAAGCTTTTCTGTACCCTTTCTCCCCAGCTGGAGTTTCATAGGCTGCTCATTCTCAAACTTTTTCTGGAGGAGGTAGGAGGTGGTTGGCCAACCTCCAGAAGGGCTTTTCCACAGGTCCCATTTGGGGGTCAAAGAGCAATTCATTCAGGGCTTAGTTGTTGAAAGAAGAATGCGAGACCCCAATAAAATATGATTCTGGAATTGAACATAAATATAGCAAGGTCTCGTGGTTTCTATAGCTTCCTCTTGCTGGGGGTACCTTGTTTTGGTCATCCTGCAAATACATGGAATAAGCTTGCACCCTCTCTACAAGATCCCATGCTCAGAGTGTCCTACAAACCCACCCCTGGAAAAAATACCGCGTTGGGAGTCTTCCAGAGCATTAGAGGAAAGAATCAACACTCTTCCAACGAGAGGAGCTCAGTGCTGGGCACTGGCTTTGGTTGATTCTGCAAACCCCAAAGATGGGTGCTGAAATCAAGGGCTCTCTCTCTCTCTCTCTCTCTCTCTCTCTCCACACCACCATTTTTGCTATTTTCAAACTCTTTCAAGCTACTGGAAAGGTCTCTGGCCAGAGCCGCTGGGGAGGAGAAGAGCAGACGCCCCGGGAGGGAGATTGTATTCCGGCTGTGTGCTGTGTGAGCTGCCCTTTGATTGATTGAAAAGGGTAGATGGAATAAAGCAAGGCTGTCACAATGGGGAGAACCCAGTAGGGGGAAGAAACATTATTTTCCTTTTAAGAATGGTGGGTGTGTGTGTATTCACACGCGTTCTCAAAGAACCTAGCCATATGCGGTCAGCCCGTCCAACCCTAGGTGGCAAGGGGACCCACCTCTGTCTTCCGGGCTGTGGGAGAACTGGAGCAGTTTCGCACGCATGCCCCTTGAGAGCGTGGTTGGGGAGGTCCCCCGTATGTGTAGAGCAGCACATGGCTTTCAGCAGACATAGTGGGCTCCAGCCATGGGGTGGCTCCCAGGTAAACATTCCCCCACGGGGCATTGACAGGGCAAAGGGCTGGGGTACAGAGCTTCCTGAAATGTCTGTGCCTCTTCCCCACGTTTGCTCCTTTTCTCTGCTGCCCTCCCTCCCTACCCTCTTCCCTTCCTCAGATATTTGCAGCCTCGGGATACATCATTTGAATGCAAAGCCAGCAGTCATTATGCTGCTTATAAGCTAACGGTTTTTAAACATGGCTCAAAAATCCCCACACTTTCTGCACTTGGTGTTAGGTACCAATTTGGTTTCTAGGACAAAGCAGGCATTAGTTAACATCTGTGCAAAGCTGCGTGCACAGCATCCAATTTTCCCCAGACTCTCCAGCCAGCCCTGGAGCATGTCTCACTGTCCCTCTCCCTCCCCACCATGCCTCTGTGGTCTTCCTTTCACATTCTCCGGGGTCTTCTCACTCGGGGAGGAGTTGCACTAGAAAACCCCCAGTCATAGATGCTTCCTTTCTGCAGAGCTTTGCTGCTCGTGTGCTGGGCTCTAGGCGGCTCTGCTGTGAGCATGAGGCATGGGTTGCCCACAAACTGTTCCGTCTTACCCACTCTGTTGCTCGCTGGGACCGGCCTCTGTCCTCCCAGGACTTCATCCTGGATGCCCACTGTCGCTCTGCAAACATTTCCGGAGGAACCTGAGGCTGCCTTTCTCCTCCTGGGCACCTCTCCATCCCTGCTGCTCCCTGCAGACAGGGGAATCTGCCTGGCAGAGTCTGCCTGCACTTGGTCTCCTGATCCTTTTCATCACCATGAGGGCTGCTGGGGAGTCAGTGAGGGCTTTCTAGGGAGGCAGCCCTCCCGAAGCGGGGAGGAAGCTAAGGGGGCGGGGTGATTAACTGCTCTGCGCTCCTAGTTCTCACCAGGCTCCCATGCAAAGACATTGCAGCCCATCTCGCTCCTAGCCAGCTTCTTAGCAGCTTAGGGGCATTTCTCAGCGGCCTCTCCCCATCCTCACCCAGAGAAGGCACTGCCTGGTGGTGCCACCTGGGAGACCTGTTGGAGTAGCTTTATGATGGGAGGCGGAGGGCGGCAGCCATACAGAAAACCTCCCATGATTCCGGCTGTGATTCATCTGTGCAACAGATGTCATTAATTTTCAGGCTCGCTTCCCCTCTTATTTGTGTCCAGTGCTATCAATGTGAAACTGGTTCGGACCCTGGGGCGGGTGAACGGGGCTCCTGTCCCTGCCTTGGCCACACCCCCTTTCTGCCTCTCCCCCCCCTCCCCCCCACTCGCTAATCAAGCTCTTGGCTTTGTGCGCACATCCGCCAGCCCATTCGCCCTCAAATTTGCGGCACTCCAAGAAATCAATATAACACGAATTTAACGACAGCTGGATGATTAAGTGTTATTTATATTTAAGAGCGGCATTTTAAAAGGACGTGGTGCTAATAAATCAGAGGCTGTTTGGGGGATGCGCATGATTAGGGTAATTGCCCTATAGGCTCTATTGAGCAATGCTTGGTCCCTGGCCAGCCCTGGGGACAGCACCTCTCCCCAAGCCAGGAGCCCCGCCGCTTCCTACCCGGAACTCCTACCGGATCACCTCCCTTCCTCCGGGCTTACTCACTCTTCCGTCTCCCTCCTCACTGCCCAGGCTGTAGCCTGCCAGTCCAGGAGGAAGGTGGAGTCAGCTGGGAGACTGAAGGGGGCTCTGCAGCTAAGTGGTAAGAGATGGATCAGAAAAGCTAAGGCAGGCAGGGGGGGTCCTAGTTCCCAGAGCAGAGCCTGGAGGCAGAGGGAGGAGGCGGCTTTCCTGCTTGGTGTGAGGTAGCTTGGAAGAAGAGCTTCCTGAGTCCCTGTAGGAACCGCTGACCCCGGGCCTCTGATCCTGAGGCATCAGGCTCCCCAGGGAAGGGGCTTTGTGGACATTACGATTTGTCCTGGTGAAAGGAACAGAATGGAAAAGAATAATAATGATGGTGGTGGTAGCTAATATTTATGGAGCGGTTACTCAGACGAGGCATCATTTAAGTTCTTTGCACAGGTTGGCCCTTGCTTCTCAGAGGAAGTGGGATAGTTACTCTTTCTATTCCACTTCCTCCACGAGGAGGCTGAGGTGTGGGAAGGTAAGAACTTGTCCGAGATCCCTCAGCTGGTGGTGATGGAGCCAATTCCAACCTTAGGCAGACAGACCGACCCCCTCCTCATCACTGTGCTGCGTGCCTCCTTAGCACGTCTGTGTGGGGCATGTGGTTACCCGTGGGGAGCTGTAGGGGAGTGTGCCCGGGAACTTCAGAATGCCTGGCTTTTCCTCTGGACTGCCTCTGTGACCCTAAGTGAACCTGTGTCCTCTAAACCTCAACTTCCCAATTCATCAAGGGGGCTGAGTCTTATACTCACAAACTCAGCCTTTCTGGCCTCAGCATTTTAGGGAAGAGCCACAGGTGATCTTCTAGAGGTTAGCTCAGTGGTCGGCAAACTCATTAGTCCACAGAACCAAATATCAACTGTACAACGATTAAAATTTATTTTGAGAGCCAAATGTTTTAAACTTAAACTTCTTCTTCTAATGCTACTTCTTCAAAATAGACTCGCACAGGCCGTGGTATTTTGTGAGAGAGCCACACTCAAGGGGCCAAAGAGCCGCCTGTGGCTCCTGAGCCACGGTTTGCCAACTACTGGGTTAGGTGCACTTTTTCCTCCCAAAGAAAAAAATCTTCTATTTCAGACCTTAATTATTTGGCTTCTCCTCTATATTAAAGTGAGTGAACGTTCTGCCAAACTTGGCATTTTATCACGGGCCCTTTGGGGCAACAGGAGCGGCTGATACTGTTGGGTGTGGAGTCCAACAGGTGTGTGTGTGTGACCTTAGGTATCCCCGAGTTGCACCTCTCCCCAAAGGATTCACAACAGCAAATTGGATTTTGGAATGTTGT